TAGCATTTAGTATATAACTTACATTTGTATAAATTAGTATTTAGTTTTTACTGTTCTATAAAGTAGGTTTGGGCTTATTATGATGTGGTAACAACTTCATTCTTCCCTTCATTCCTCCCTCCCTGCATTCTTTTCTTCCTTCTTTCCTTCTCTTCCCTCTATCTTTCCTCCCTCCCTTCCTCCTTGAAAAAAAAATTAACATCCAGATATGTAATTATAAGAGCAGTTCCTCACAAATAATTTTGGGCCAGGCCTGAAGCAATGTACAGCAGATAAGGAACTTGTCTTGTATACAGCTAACCTGTGTTCGGTCCCTGGCACCCCAGATGGTCCCCAGGAGTGATCCCTGAGTACAGAACCAGAAGCAAGCTCTGAGTTCAGTCAGGTAAGGCCCCAAAACAAACAAAAACCATTTTTAAATTATAGGTCATCTTGGGGCTGGAGCAATAGCACAGCAGGTAGGGTATTTGCCTTGCACACAGCCGACCCGGGTTCAATTCCCAGCATCCCATACGGTCCCCTGAGCACCACCAGGGGTAATTCCTGAGTGCAGAGCCAGAAGCAACCCCTGAGCATTGTCGGGTGTGACCCAAAAAGAAAAAAAAACAAAACTATAGCTCATCTTCACGTGATTTTAATTCTAGGATCCACGTTGAAATCTTTTTTTTTTTTCCTTCCTTCTTTCTTTCAGTTCTTGGGCCACAAACAGTAGTGCTCGGGTGTTATTCCTGGTTCTGTTCCGGAGTGCCCCATGGCAGCACTCGGGGGACCATATGTGGTGCCAGGGATTCAAATCAGGCACACGGCAGAGGGGAAAAAAGAAGAGAAGCCACCAGAATACTTACAGGTGCCTCAAGCTTTATTTAGAAGTGGTATATTTCTACTCACATTCAATGAGCCCATAGTGTAAATAGAGCATGAACATGTAATCCTATTGCTCAGGGGCCGAGCAGGAAAATTGTCTGCTTGGAACGATTTCCCACAGGGCGGAACGGTCAGTGTTTATCTGCTCCTCCTTCACATATACCATGGCCACGGGGAAGGTCTGGACTTAAGGTGGACAACTCCTGGACAGATTAATATAGCCTGACCTATACACTAGATTAAACTAATCTGGCCCCTGTTCTTGGAGAGATGAACCGTGAAACACTAAGTGCAGGAGGCAGGAAGGGGAAAGCACTGTGACTGAACCGTGGCCACGCAGCAGAGGTCCGGGTAAGGTGCACCCAACCAACATCCTGCTCCCTACAGGTTGGTCTGCGGGGGGCCAGGCCAGGTTTCCATGGAAAATTCTTCAACTCAGGTTGTTTTCTCACAGAAAAGGGGTATAACCAAGGGACCCTTGTCTGCTAGGTCACCTCCAAACCTGCCCTCACCTCTTCAAAAACCTTCCAACGGTCCCCGCACACCACCGGGAAGTTCAAATGATCCCACCTGAGGTCTCACTTGCACCAAGCCAGAGAAGTGCGGTGCTTCCAGGCCACGGGGCACGGGGCCACGCAGCTGCACTGAAGTAACCTGTTCCCGGCAGATTTCGGTCTCTCGGTTCCCAGGAGGTGCCCTGGGGCTGCTGTTTTACTCTGAAGGCAGAGGATGCGTGTGGGCAAAGGTGACCCGCAGAACAAGAATCCACCAAAGATGCAAGCCACAAAGCAGGAAAGGCAGGGTCAGGGGACCCGGAGGACCCAGATCCAAACCGGTGTTCCTTTCTCTCAGGGTGCTCTGGCCCTGGAACTTTCCAATCGCTCGCGGGGACCTCCAGACTGCCTGCATACTGCTGAGAACGAGGAGCTCGTCCATCCGTGAGCAGGACAGGTGGCCAGGACGTCGGTCCCTTCCCAGTTTCCCGCAGCTGCAAATCAACGGTGAGCGGTGGGGCCCAGCCAGGCCGTTTCGCGCGATTCCCCAGCTCACCGCCGTCCGCTGTAGCCGAGGCCAGCGATGACCAACTGAACCGCCTTTGAACGCCGCAGCAGCGGATTCGCTGAGGCCCCGCCCACGGCCGCAGCCTAGTCCCGTTGCTATTGGACAGCGTTCAGCCCCCCCCTCCGCCCCGCCCCACCCTGTTGGCCAATCGGCTTCCAGTTGCGACGGCCCTGCCCTCAGCCCCGCCCTACAGTGGGGTCTGGCGCAAGCGCGCTGCAACTGCCACGCCGGGGTCACTTCAGGGCCACCAGGCAGCCTTGCCCTGGGCCCTGGACAGAGGCGGGACAGGCTGGGTCGCCAGTGGCTGCTGCCCAGTTTTGCTCTCTGGCTCTCCGCCTCCCCGCCCCATGGACGGGCGGGGTCCTAGCCGGCACCTCGGACATCATTGCCCTTACACGACTGGCCTCACGTGGGCATCCACGTGTGTGTTGAAGCATCTGGCTTGGTGGCAGCAATGGGGGCCTGGGGCGTGGGGAGGGAAGGTGGGACGGAAGCTGGCGGCAGGCTCTGGGACCGAGCTCAATGCCAGAAGCGAGTCAGGAGTTAGCTTAACTCTGAAACTGAGTTGGCACCACATCTTCGAATTTTGAAGCCCCAAATTCAGTTCTGTTATGCCCAAGAGCTTGATCCAGGCCTAACTCTGAAACTGAGTTGGCACCACATCTTCGAATTTTGAAGCCCCAAATTCAGTTCTGTTATGCCCAAGAGCTTGATCCAGGCCTGGGATCCCCAGAGCCTGGACAAAATGTGCAGTTCCTAGTACACTACAATCAAGAGTGCAAGCACTCCAGTCATTGCAATAACAACCAAAAATAGAAAAGAGGAAAAGAGCCTGGAAGAGGTTCTGAGTTCACAGGGCACAGCATGGCCCCCAAACACCACGCTGCTAGAAACTCAAAGCAAGAAAAGGGAAAGGCTGGGACACTAGCCATAGTACAGTGGGTAAGTTGCTTGCCTTGCACACGGCTGATCTGGGTTTGATCCCGAGTGCCTCCCTGGAGCTTGCCAGGAATGATCCCTGAGTGCAGAGCCAGGAATAAAGTCCTGAGCACCTCTGGATGTAGGAAGGAAGGAAGAAAGGAAGGAAGGAAGGAAGGAAGGAAGGAAGGAAGGAAGGAAGGAAGGAAGGAAGGAAGGAAGGAGGGAAGGAGGGAAGGAGGGAAGGAGGGAGGGAGGGAGGGAGGGAGGAAGGAAGGAAGGAAGGAAGGAAGGAGGGAGGGAGGGAGGGAGGGAGGGAGGAAGAAAAAGAAAGAAAAAGAAAAAGGGAGGGAGGGAGGGAGGAAGGAAGGAAGGGAGGGAGGGAGGAAGAAAAAGAGAAAGAAAAAGAAAAAGGGAGGGAGGGAGGAAAGAAGGAAGGGAGGGAGGGAGGGAGGGCAGGCTGGAAAGATGGTACAGATGGGTAGGTGCTTGCTTTGAATACAGCTGACCCTGGTTTAATTTCCAGAACCCCATATGGTACCCTGAGCCTGCCAGGAATGAACACAGAGCCATAAGTAATCCCTGAGCACTACCAGGAATAGGTCAAACCAAGAAAAAGAAAAAAAGAAAGAAAAGGAGGGGTCAGGGGTAAGGTGTTTTGCCTTGCAGTGGGTCAATCTGGGTTTGATCCAGGACACCTCAGATGGCCCCAAGCCCTCCAGAAATAATCTCTGAACACAGAGCTAGGAGTAAGCCCTAGACACCACCAGGTGTGACCCCAAAACAAAATAACAACCACCAAATAGTTAAGGAGGAACTAGAGAGCTGTTACAGGGTTGGTAAGGCACTTTCTACGCACATGGCAAACCTGAATTCCATGGAATGTCATATGGTTCCCTGAGCACCATCAAAGGTGATCCCTGAGCCCAGAGCCAGAAGCAAGCCCTGAGCACCGGCAGGTGTGGCTCAAAAACAAAAAATAATAAAGGAAAAAGGAAAGAAAATAAAACCCAATAGGGGTGAGGCCCTTCTGCCTCCTTCACTGGCTTGGCAGTTAGCTCCTGTCACTCTCCGTCCCAGGCTCCCCAAGCTGAATTCCGGTTTCAAAGGCATCGCCTGGGGCTGGAACAATAGTTACAGGGCACTTGCCTGGCACAAGGCCAGCCTGGGTTCAATCCCAGTTATCCCATATGGTTCCCTCAGCACCGCCAGGAATAATTCCTGAGTGAGAGCCAGGAGTAACCCCTGAGCATCGCTGGGTGTGTCTCCCCGCCGCCCCCCCCCCCCAAAAAAGGCATTGCCTTTGCCTTGGGACCAGAGCAATAGCACACTGGGTAGGGCACTTGCCTGGCACAAGCCTGGTCTGGGTTTGATCCCCATTACCACATACTGTTTCCAGAGCCCTCTTAAGAGTGATTCCTGAGCCAGGAGCAAGTTCTGATCATCACCAGCATGGCTCAAAAAACAAAAAAAATGAAACAAACAAAAAAGACATTGCCTTTTTTTTTTTCCTTTTTGGGTCACATCTGGTGGATGTACAGGGGTTCCTCCTGGCTGGGCACTCAGGAATTACTCATGGCGGTACTGGAAGGACCATATAGGATGCTGGGAATTGAACCCGGGTTGGCCGCATGCAAGGCAAACGCCCTACCTGCTGTGTTATTGCTCCAGCCCCATTGTGCTATTGCCTTTTTCTAGGCAGAGCCTGGCCTGCTGGATTTCCCTTTGCCTGGCAGCTTCTTCCTCCAACCTGCTCCTGTAACTGGCTTCTCACCGGACAGGGCAATCAAATGTGGTCGATGGGTCCTACCCAGGCGGCTGCATCCACACGAGCAGCTTCAAGTACTGGTCCTGGCGCCTTTTCCTCTGGGCTCAGGAATGCCCACTGACGCCACACACAGCTCTCACCTGGGTCACCCGGCCCGGCCCGGCCGGTTTCAGGGTTTGGTATTCTTGGCCATCTTTCTCCAGAACGGTACTGAGCCCGATGTGGGGGTGACCATGGCCCCGGCCTTCCCATTCCTGTTGGAGAGCAGAAGGGCCATGCCAGTCTGCGGCAGTGCCTACCACAGCCCCCAAGCCTGTCTGGGCTGGGCCAGGAGGCAGGGAGGCTGGCTCCGGCCCCCCTTCCAGGAACACACATGCACAGGGGAATCTCCAAGCTCTTTTTTCTTTAATTTCTTACAAAACCACATGTCCCAGCCAAAGAGGACACTGCGGGCGCTGCCCTAGGCATTGTGATCCAGGTGGGGAGGCCCACGAATGAAAGGCTGCTAAGCCCAGAAGTGTCTGCCTCTCTGCACGGGGCCAGAGCGAGGCACGGGCTAGCTGGAGGCTCTGGCCTGCCCTCCCCAGCCATGGGTGAGAAAGCAGACCCTGGGTCCCTGGAGTTCTCAGTGCCTGCAAGGGAAGGAAGGAGAAGAGGGTCTGAGGGGCGGGACAGGCTGAGGCCGGGCGTGGGGTGGGCCAGGGTGGGGGGGCGGGCAGGCCACAATATCTCACCAAGAATGGATGATGCTCTCAAGTGAATGAGACACTAATGATGACCACCAGAATGAGGACAGTGATGGACAGACAGATGGCAATCAACAGTTTCTTCTGTGGGAGAGGAGGGGGGTCAGGAAACTCGGGCTGCGGGACTGCCCGGGGGCACAGCAGGAGGGACGGAGCTCACCTTCCGTGCCTTCTTCTGGTTCTCCAGGGCCATCTTGACATGCTCCTGCCCACGCTCCACGTAGTCTGCTGAGCTCAGGATGTTCTTCTCAATCCGGTTAATCGTCTCCCCCTGCCCAGAGGTTGGGGGGACACTCAGGAGGGAGATGACTCAAGGAGGGGGCCCAGCAGCTATGTCTGCCCACCCATGCCGCCCTCCTCCTGGGCCCCACTGATTGAAGGACATTCGCAGCAGCAAACTCCACACCAACAGGGGCTAGAGTGATAGCACAGTGCATAGGGCATTCGCCTTGCACGTGGCCAACCCGGGTTCACTCCCCGGCATCCCATATGGTCCCCCGAGTGCTGCCAGGAGTAATTCCTGAGTGCAGAGCCAGGAGTAATCCCTGAATCCCCGAGTATCACCGGATGTGACCCAAAAAAGCAAAAAACAAAACAAAAACAAAAAACAAACAAACAAACAAACAAAAACCACCCCAAAAAAACCTCCACACCAACAAAGTTCTGGAGGGGAATCACACTCCTCAGGCGGCTGCCAGCCCTGCTCTGTCACCTGGTCCCTTTGGCCTAGCTCCCTCGTCCCCTACAACCTCTATGTGCAGTGGGGGCTTAGGGGCCTTCCAAGGGTTTTTCCATTCCAGAGAGGATGAGCTCTGTTCCCTCGCCAACCTCTCCAATTCATCCATGCTTCTAGAACCTCCCTATTCCTGACTCCCCACGGCACTACCAGGTCATGATGTGCCAAAGGAAATTCCTTCCCCATGACTTGCAGCACCAATAAGCCAGTCCCTCCAGCGTGGGGCTAGGGGCCCCTCTCATCCTGTCCAACCAGGCTCAGGGGTGGCAGCCTCCCACCAAGCCTGGGGCAGACTGGAGGGGGTAGCTGTGACCGGGGGTAACTGTGACCGGCTTTTGGTGGCCTAAGGGTGGATCCCAGGGGAGTGGCAGAGCTGGGGCTGGGGTGATGCCTAGAGCAGCAAGTTGGAGGGTGGGGTCTGTCAGGAGGAGAGGCTGTCTGGAAACACGTGACTCCGGGGTCTGGCTCCACGTGGGGAGCTGTAAGCGAGAGGAAAGCCTGAAGAGGGAGGCGAAGGGTTGAGGGGGTCATGGTGGCGGTTCTCACCCAACACGGTGGCAAGTACCCACCTGCATCTCCACCTCAGTAGCCAGGAAAGTGAAGATCTCATGCAGCTCCCGGATGCTGCGCTCGAGCTGCTGGATCTCACTGTGCCGGGCTGAGATCTCGTTGAGGGCCTGACGAGTGACCTGTGTGTCCTTCAGGATCTGCGGGGTGGACGGGGTGGAGCAGCAGGTCAGCAGCCTGGGGCCAGACATACCCCTGCACCCCTCAATCCTGGAGCAGGGACTCCTGGTCAAGCACGCGCCTGATGCCAGCACTTGTGTGAGGCTCTGGTTCGCTCAATACCGCAAAAATAAGTAAATAAATAACAAAGTGGGGGTGGGCGGGTGCAAGACGGCACCAAGGGGTGCGGCACAAGCCCTGCATTGTGGTCCCTGACACTGTCCCTCACCCTGGCTCAAGGGGCCCGATCGCTGACGCTAGCATAGACTCATCCACCTCACATCACTCGGTCGACCTCTGAGAATGGCCCCCCACTTCCCTGAGCACCACTGAGGAATCCCTGTTTCTTAAAGAAAATGGTAGGAGGGAGTCAAAAAAAATAGAGGTAAGGTGCTTGCTCTGCATACAGCTGATTCTGGGTCAATCTCTGACCCCTGAGCACAAAACGGGGAGCACCCAAGCACAGTGGGTATGGCTCAAACATCCATACACAATAAACATTTAAAGAGACAGGCAGTAGGGGCTGGAGTAATAGCACAGCAGGTAGGGTATTTGCCTTGCATGTGGCCAACCCGGGTTCAATTCCCAGCATCCCATACGGTCCCCTGAGCACCACCAGGGGTGATTCCTGAGTGCAGAGCCAGGAGTAACCCCTGTGCATCGCTGCGTGTGACCTCAAAAAAAAAAAAGAAAAGACAGGCAGAGGATTCACTGAAGGATCAGAATGCCTGCCTGAGAGCACAGGTTAAATCCTGGGTGCCCAACCTGAGCACCATCCCAGCAGCTTTTCTGCTGTGAGCTCTAGCGCAGCCATCAGATGTGTGTGGGCACCACAGGAAGGGTGCAACTCTTGAGCACCACAGCTAAAAGATGCTCGAGCACCACAGACAGGAAGTGTGCCCTCTGGGCAACACATATGTGAACTCCACAGTGACCCTGAAGAGTGACCTCCAAGGAGCACCACAGCCAGGCCTGAATGTGACTCCCTCGTTTCCCCAATGACAATAATAACAACCTCAACAAGAGCAACAATGAAGGGAAGAGAACTTAAAAAGAAAAGCGGGGCCAGAGCAATAGTACAACGGGTAGGGAGTTTACCCTGCATGCGGCCAACCCAGGTTCGATCCCCAGCATGCCATACAGTCCCCCAAGCACTGCCAAGAGTAATTCCTGAGTGCAGAGCCAAGAGTAACCCCTAAGCATCACTGGGTGTGACCCAAAAAACAAACAAACAAAAAAAGCGGACAGGGAAGATGGCTCATATGCACGGGTGGCTGGCTGCAATCCCCAGCACCACGTGGTCTCCTGAGAAGCACCTTGGGCACCCTCAAGCATGGAGGCATGAGGAACCCCTGAGCATCATCAGGGTATGGCCCAGAAACCAAAGCCCCAGAAGCAGGAAGGGTGCTGGCACTGTCAGTGCGGGGTCCAGAGGGAGGGGGCTGGCAACGGTGCTCACATTAGACACGAACACCTCGCTCTGGCCGCTGTCCAACATCTGTTCCAGTTCCTCGTCCGACACCATCCCGGCATTGGCTGTGGAGGGGAAACACAGGCTCAGTGCAGGCTTAGCTGCTCGGCCCGGGGGAATGGACGCGCCACTCACTGATCTTCAGCTGCCTGCGAATGCGCTCCACATTTTTCTCCCGGTACTCGGACTGCAACGTGTTGCACTTGTTGATGAGCTCCACAAACTGCTGGGACAGGATCCCGTGCTGCGGACGCAGAGCACAGGTTGGCACACCTCAGTCCCGGCCTGCCCTGGGCCTCAATCTCACGATGGCTCAGCAAACATCGAGAGCAGTATAAGTGCTCACTGCCGAAGCCATATGAAAGACTCACCTATTCTCTCCTTGGCAGGCCTCCGAGACCCTATCTGACCTGCCCTCCCCCACTTCCCCTTTGACCCTCCCAGTTTCCTCCCTTGCCCCCCACCCCCCACCACCGGAGGCTCCCTACTTCCCTCCAGAGGGCACACCACCACCTCCGTGGACCTACACTGCTTGTTCCCCACAAAGGTCTTAATTCTTCCACACACAGTAGGAACCCCCAAGTATATTTATTTATTTTTGCTTTTTGGGTCATATCGGGCAATGCACCGGCATTACTCCTGGCTCTGCACTCAGGAATTACCCCTTGAGGTATTCCGGGAACCATATGGGACGCTGGGAATCAAACCCAGGCCGGCCCTGTGCAAGGCAAATGCCCTATTCGCTGTGCTATCACTCCAGCCCCGCCCCCCAGGTAATTTTTTTATTTTTAAGCATTTGCTGAACACCATCCTCAATGCTGAGAAGAAATACTCAAACTCAAAGAATACTCAAAACGTTCATCTGCTGTTCGGGGTGCTCAGCCTTCACAGACTCCCCCGGAAATGCCCTTTCACCCTGTCTCTTCTCCTGATGCCTTATGTTGCCCATTTCTTAACAGTTCCTTCCTCAGAGTCCGGAGCAATATAGCGGGTAGGATGTTGCTTTGCACTGCAGCTGACCTAATGGCCCAGGTTCAATCTCTGGCACCCCATATGATCCCAAGTCCTGCCAGGAGTGATCTCCGAGTGCACAGCCAGGAGTAAGCCATAAACACAGCCAGATGTCGCAAACAAACAAACAAACAAACAGACCAAGATATTCTTCTTCACAGACACATTTGCTTTACTGGTTTCAACTGCAAGACCCTAAACCGCTCCATCTTCAATCTGGGATTATTGCTGGGCTCCAGAAATTCAGAATTCTTTGTCTCTGACCTCTCCAAACTCCAAAATATACCTCAAGGAGCACCCAGAAGTGAGATCATCTCAAATCTCCTTATTAAGATGTTGATTTCAGAAAACAGAGCGATAGGACAGTGGGCAGGGCATTTGCTTTGCACATGGCTGATCCTAGTTCAATCCCCAACATCCCATGTGGCGCCCCCCCCAGCCCTGCCAGGAATGACTCCCGAGTGCAGAGCCAGGAGGAACCCCTGAGCATCACCAGGAGTGGCCCAAAAAACAAAATCAAAACAACAAAAAAAGATGTTGATTCAGTGACCTTCCACCCGGGGAAGTTCCCTTCCTTCTTGAATTCTGCTCACGAGGCAGAGATGTTCAAGTCATGTGGGAAGGGAACCTCCCTGTCATTTGACTTCTCCCTCTTCTTCTCTAGGCAGAACACAAGCCACCAAGTTCACCCTGAGTAAAGTCTTTTCTACTTGTTCTTCATCTTGGCTACTGTGAAGACTGTCTCCACAGCCAGGTTTGGGTCTGGGAAGGAGCAGATAGGGCATGTGCTTTGCATGAGGCTGACCCGAGTTCAATTCCCAGCACCCCATATGGTTCTCCAAGGAACTCAGGAGTAACTTTCCTGAGTGCAGAGTGTGGAGTAACCCCTAAGCAGCTCTATGTGTGGCAAAAAAAAAAAAAAAAAAAAAAAACAACAGTTAAATCGGGGCCATGTTTTCATTGGAACAAGACTGTTCTAGAAAAGGAGTCAGAAAACCTGGGTTTTAGGCCTTGGGTGAGCCCCAACTTCCTCGTATCCTGTTTTTTTTTCACCTGAAAAATCATCAGATTGGACTTGATGATATCTAAGTAACCTTCCTTTTTTCCTTCTGACATCTAGTGATTTACAGAGAAATTGCTGAAATGCCCTAGTTCTGGGAACAAACTTACTTGGGTTTTTCTCATTCTTGTGTTGATTGAGTTATAGTTCTCATCAGCTTCCTCCTTCTGTGGCTCTATGGCTGTAGGAAGACACAGTTGGTGAGGGCGAGGGTTTAATCTGCAGCTGCTAAAAATCGTTTTTGGACCAAGAAAAGGGCAGGATCATAATCCAGTGACACACAATAAAGAGGTTCTACCTTACATAAGATTCTTCTAAGAAATATAACTCATCACAAATGACAAATTCTGGGGCCGGAGCGATAGTACAGTGGGTAAGGCGTTTGCCTTGCGCGTGGATGACATGGTTCAATACCCGCATCTAATATGGTCCCCCAAGCACCCCCAGGAATAATTCCTGAGTGCAGAGCCAGGAGTAACCCCTGAGCATCGCTGGATGTGGCCCAAAAAGCAAAATTAAAAAAAGACAAATTCTGAGTCTCTAACGAAGAGAAAGTTAAATATTCTTTATAAGGTATCAATAAATTTTCACAGGTATACAAAAACTTCCTAACAAAATGCTTGTCTGCTTATATGGTGGGCAGGAAGAATTATAGGAATACAAGGTTCATTGTAGCACTGTAGCTCTGTCCTCCCGTTGTTCATCGATTTGCTCGAGCGGGCCCAGTAACGTCTCCATTGTAAGACTTGTTACTGTGTTTGGCATATCAAATATGCCACGGGTAGCTTGCCAGGCTTTGCCGTGCAGGTGAGATACTCTTGGTAGCTTCCCAGGCTCTCCAAGAGGGGCAGAGGAATCGAACCTGGGTTGGTCGGGTCGAACACGTGCAAGGTAAACGCCCTACCGCTAGGCTATCACTTCAGCCCAAGGTTCATTATAAATTACAAATGATAGGAATACAAGGTTTATAATTTATAAGTTATAAATTATAGGAATACAAGGTTCATTATAAAGAGAGGAAGGCATGGAAAGTCCTATGTATTGGAAGCCAAGTAAGGAGATCCTAGACCTGGGCCTGCTGGGGTTTCGGGCTCTTTCTGGGCACACACTCCCCAGATGTACCAGGAACTGGGCAAAACCAGAGGGAAGGAACTGTGAGGTCTTAAGAGCTCACCCTTCAGCTGAGTGCGAACCTCCCTGCCCAGCTGTTTGATCTCTTCTCGCAGATTCTGCAGGTCCTGCTTCATACCTGAACAAAAGAAGACTCTCAAACAACAGACACTCCCCACCACACCTCCCTGGCCACCACTGCTGCGGAACTACAATCCCCACAATCCCTCGGGGCCAGCACCCAGCGCTCCACTCACTCTCCTCGGGAAGGGGCGTGGCCAGGATGGTTATCTGCTGCTTCTCCAACTCCTGGACTTTACTCTCCAGCTTGACCATAGTCTGCCGAATTGTCCGGACCTGAGGAAGGTGACCGTGACGACCGGAGGAGATGTGAAAGTACTCCAGACTGAGCTGCTCCTTGACTCCTTCACTCCAGCCCCCTCATGAATCGGGGCCGTGACCCCACCTCTTACCTTCTGGAAGAACTCATCGTCTGGGTTCCCCAGTCCTGCGGTGCCCGGGTGCAGCACCAGCGCCACGCGCTCCTTGTCCTCATCGTCCGAACTGTCATCCCCCTGCCAGGGCCAGGGTCATTAGCATCACTTCCCTGCTTTCGCCCTCTCCCCACAGGACCACGGGCTTCCGGCTCTTTCCTTCCTGGCCCTCGGCCATCCCTCTCGGGGAGGGAAGACCCCGAGTCCTGCGTTCCAGACAGACCCCACCCCGCCCATCCGACCCAGCCCCGCTTGCCCGGCTTCTCACCTGTCTCAGCTCGCGGGTCCTGTCCCGCATGGCGCCTGGTGCTGCTTCTCCCGGGCACCGAGGCAGGAGGGCCTCTAAGTCCTAACTTTGGGACGCCGTACCCCACTCGGAGCCTGACACTTCCCTCCACCCCCGCCCCGCTGATTCCCAGCACCCCCCGCCACGAGTTTCAGCGGCTCTGTTCCCAGCACCATCCACAATCCATGGGAAGCAGCCGGCCGCGGGGACCCCCCCAAGATTCCACAAGTTGGATTTCCCTTTTCTTGCCCCCCTCCCGTTCCCGAAGCCTCGGCCCCGCCCCCTCTGGGATGACTCGGGGCATGCGCACGGGGTCGCGTCCCTTCCCCGCCGCAGGCAAAGGCGGAGGTCGGAAGTTGTAGCGCCCCGAACGGAAGCGAACCTGCCAGGATGGGAGAGCCCGCCTTCGGACCGGAACCGTGGCGTCTCCCAGCGGAAGTCTCGCGGCCAGCCGGGGTGGCAATGCGTCATTCGTACGTAAGCCGAGCTGCTCCGCGTCTCACATCACCCCATCGCGCGCCCCTCGCGTCACGTGACCGGCAGCCCCAGCTCGCGGACCACGGAACGTGATGCTGTGACTGTGCTGTGCCGCGTCTCTGTCAACTCCGTTTCTGGAGCACCTTTCTCCCCGCGACGTCCCAAGCTCCTCCCTCACGGGGCCGCCCCGAGGCCTCGGGGAGGGGGCGCTGCAGACAGCTCCCTGGCGACCTTTGGGGAAGGGGGGGCGGAAGGACCCTTGTTGAATCGGGCTTTAAGAGGAGATCTGTGGAAGGGAAGATCCCAGTCCGTGCCCAGGGGCGTGGGCCGAACCGAGGACTTCGGATTTGGGGCTTTCAGCATCATGGGACCTTGAAATTCAGGAAGGAGTACATCCAGCGTCAGAGAATTGCAGGGCTTTGCCGGCAGAGACTCCGGGGGTGGGAAATGACCTCACCCAGGCAGCAGGCTTAGCTCTCCCGCTCCTGCGCACGCTCGTGGCTCGTGGCGCAGCCTCTGCCAGGTGGGTGGCTGGAGCCCGGCTCCCACGCTGCAGCCCCGCGGCCCGCCTTGTCTTCCAGCCGCCCCGATTGCTGGCAGGCAGCGCAGGCTGAGAAGAGTCTCTTGTGTCCTAGGAGTCTGGCCGCCCACTTTCACCTGCGTCTGCCCCCCAGCGCCCACCCCAAAAGGCTGCACTTCCTTGTGGTGGGCGGTCAGCTCTCCTGGGCTTGGCTGTTCTCTTCAGGATCCCCAGCGCGCGTTTCGGTACCTTTTCACTGAAAATGGACAGAATTGGAGTCTTTTGCGTCTATGGAGATACGGCTCATGACTCCTAGTCTTCGCCTTGAGCCTGTCAGGGCCAGTCCCCTCTAATCCTGGCCCTCTCGATAAGCGTTTCTCAACAGGGGCCCTGTGCCATTGTGCTACACGTGCTGTGCTCTGACTCCCTCTGTTGCATAGGAAGGGTCCCCAAAGATGCAGAGGGAGCCCTAGTGCAGCTGGAATGATCATCAGATCTCCTGGGCCCGTAGGCTCTTCCAGGAGCTGCTTTTGTTGTTGTTATTGCTTATTTGTTTGGGGGCCACACTCAGCAGTGCTGAGCCAGAGGTGCTGGGATAGACCAAATCTAGATGCAACAAAGCACTGCTCATCCCACCTAGCTACCTCCTCAGCCATCTTTCCGGGATACCACTATAAAGGTTCAAGTGAGGGAAGAAATGGCCCCTCTATGCTCTGGTAAGGAAATCCACATTCCAGTTACTGAGCTTCAGAGAACTTCTGAGAGCACAATGGCCTCCATCAGGAGACCCAGGTCTGATCCCTGGCATGACATTGCCCCCTGAGAAATGCCACAGATGACCCCCAAGCATGGAGCTGGCATTACTCTGAGCACCCCTGGGTGTGTCCCCTCTCCAAATCAGAATAAAAATAGTAATACGGGGTCTAAAGAGATAGTACAGAGGATAAGTTGTTTCCTTTGCACACATCCAACCCAGATTCAATCCCAGAACCCCTTTAATCCCCTGAGCCCCACCAGGAGGGATCCCTGAGCGCAGAGCAATGAGTAAACCCTAAGTATTGCTGGGTGTGGCCCCAAAACCAAAACAATAATAATATGAAGCACATTGTTGCTAAGTAAAATGATAATCATGGAGTGACTAGAATAGTGCCCAGGGCAGAATGAGTTGTATAAGATATGGAATCTATTATGTCATGGCACTGATGACAAGTGTACTCTGAGGGTACAGGCAGCCTGAGGGTCTGCCAGGAATGCCACTGGGCTGCTTGCCAGGTGTCCTTTCTCCTTTCCATCTCCTGAGCCCACTGTGATGTCAGCAGGTACAAGGCTGGCAGCCCTGCAGCTCCTGTACATCTGTCATATTTCCACTCGGATCTGACACACCAGAGATTGTGCTCATATATTTTATGTCTTCTCTGTCTTCTTTCCACCTCACTAGAAGGAGAGCTCGTTCACTGCTGGGTCTCCAGCACCCACAGCCATGCCTATAATAGTAAGCAGAACCATAAATCTTTAGGATCAACATTCTGTCATCTTTGGGGCCAGAGTGACAGTACAGCAGGTGGGGCACTCGCCTTGCATGTGGTTGACCCTGATTCAGTCCCCAGCACCCCATATGGTCCCCTGAGCTCCACCAGGAGTAATTTCTGAGTGCAGAGCCAGGAGTAACCTCTGAGCATTACTGGGTGTGAGTGCAAAACAAAACAACATTCTGTCATCTTCATCTGATGGAACTGTGCAGGAAAAGAGCAAGAAAGGGGGCCTGGAGCAGTAGTACAGCAGATAAGATGCTTGTTTGAACACGGCTGACCCAGATTTAATTTCTGGCACCTTATCTAGTCATTGAGCACTGCCAAGAGTGCAGAGGCAGGAGTAATCCCTGAGTACTGCTGGATGTGGCCCCTAAACCAAAAAGAAAAAATAATTTTGAAGAATGGAAAGAGCAAAGAAAAAACAGTTTATTTCAAGATTACTCACAATGGAGACGTTACTGGTGCCCAGTCAAGCAAATCTATGAACAGGAGAACAGTGCTACAGTTATAAGTCATAGTTATCTTCTCAGTGAAAGGCCTTTATGATACAGTCTAGTTGTATTACTGCAACAGGGTTTTGCCCCGAAGGGCGGGGCTATCAGCCTGATATTGTCATTGACTAGACTGAACTATTTTTTTCGAGTATTTGATGAAAATTCTTGTTAGATGAAGCAGGGAAGGCTGAAAAAATATTTCAAAGGGTTGAATGTACGCTTTGCATATAGGAAGCTTGGGTTCAATTCCTTGAGCACTGCCCCCAAACAGCCCTGTGTATAGAGCCCTGGGACGGTGGATGGAAAAAAAAAAAAGAAAAGAAAAAACAAGGAGAGTAACAATGAGGAAAAGTGAACTTCAGCAGAAGGCATTATTGCGTTTATTGTTGTTACTTTTATTATTTTGCACTGCTGGAGATAGGCAGTCCAATGTCTTCCCCAGAACTATATCAGGGACTATTGTCATTCTGTCAGGTGGTGTTGGATTTTAGGGCTTCACCTTGTGGTGCTCAGGGCTACTCCTAGCTCAGGGTCTCTCCTGGTGGTATTCAAGGGTCTCTGTGCGTACTGGAGATTGAATTAGGTTCACCGTCTATAACTCAGGTACCTTACCCCCTGTATAATCTCTCTGGCCCATTCTGAAGTTTTTGTTTTGGGCCTCCTAAGTGGCGCTCCAGAGGCTCTGAGCCCCGCCTGGTATTCTCAGCCAACTAAGTCTCTAGGGTAGTGTCTGAGAATATTGCCATTTTTGTTTGTTTTTGAGCTATACTCAGAAGTGCTCAGGGCTTACTTCTGGCCTTGTCCTCAGGAATTACTCCTGGGGGGCTCAGGGAACCATATGGGGTGCTGGGATCAAAGCCAGGGCACTTGTGTGCAAGGCAAGCACCTGCTCTACTATCTCTTTGGTCCCAGTTACTTTTTTTTTTTTTTTGCTTTTTGGGTCACACCCGGCAATGCACAGGGGTTACTCCTGGCTCTGCACTCAGGAATTACTCCTGGAAGTACTCAGGGGACCATATGGAATGCTGGGGATTGAACCCGGGTTGGCCATATGCAAGGCAAATGCACTACCCACAGTGCTATCGCTACAGCCCTCCAGTTACATTTTTTAATGGATAAATTCTCTCTCTTTCTCTCTCTCTCTCTCTCTCTCTCTCTCTCTCTCTCTCATTGTTTCTGGGGATCAAACCCAACGTCTTCTGCATATAAAGCCTGCATTCTACCATTGAGTTGAGATGAGTTTCATTTCCAATCTCTCTTCCTTTCTCTCTCTCTCTCTCTCTCTCTCTCTCTCTCTCTCGGGTTACTCTTGGCCCTTCACTCAGGAATTGCTCCTCACCAAGCTCAGGGGGATCATGTGGATGCTGGGGATCAAACCTGGATGAGCCACGTGCAAGACATGTGTCTTACCCACTATACAATCTTTCCAGGACCTTCATCCCCTCTCTTTTTGAGGGAGGGTCATGTCTGGGTGTGCTGCTCAGGGTTTACTTCTGCACTCAGGGGTCACTCCTGATGGTCCTGGAGGATCATATGTGATGCCAGGAATTGAATTTGGGTTGGCCGTGTACACAGGTAGTGCCCTACCCACTGTACTATTACTCTGACCCCCCAATACCTCTTTTATAAAATTTTTCCTAGAAGTTTTATACTGCCTTATTGCTTTAAAGCAATTGGCTTAAACCATACATAATCATCTTAATTAAAAGATTGCAACAATGGGGCCAGAGAGATAATGCAGCAGGTAGGGCACATACCTCGTATGCAGCTGAGTTAGATCCTGGGCATCCCATCTGCCCCCCACCAAGCCCACCCGGAGTGATTCCTTAGCACAGTGCCAGGAGTAAGCCCTAAGCACTGCTGGGTGTAGCCCCAACCCCCACCCCCCAAAAAAATGAGCAGTGACACATCCAAGCACAGGAATGTTATTAATTATGAAAAAGTTACCTCAGGATCTGCAGTAAGGTTGAAAATTACTTTGGCTGTTGACCTTTTATTAATGATTTTAAGGGCAGTTTAATTTTTTATTGTTTTGACTTTTTTCCTTCCCTTTTTGTGGTTGCTTATGCAGTGGCCACGGCTGACACACGGCTTAACCAAGAGCCCTTTATCTACAGGGCCACACACTGTTGCTTCAGGGAGAGAACTCTGCAGAGTGACAGGGGTAAGCCCTGCAGTGTGGCAGGGGGTGGGGGTGGGGGCGGCATTGGGCAAAGGAAGTGAACACTGGTAAAGGGATCTGTGTCAGAACATTCTAAAACCCAATCATGAACA